AGGAATGCAGGCCAGGGAAAATGCAACTATGTGGTAGTGAGAAATCAGAGGGGGTAAGAGACAATGGGGGGCGGGGAATAGTGCTGGAAAGTAGCTGGTAAATTGTAGAGGAGGTGCCTGAAGTTATGATGGCAGGCAGGTTATAAATGTGTCATAAATGTCTATATTTAGTCCATGATTTTTTGTATCCAGTAGACTGATTAAGTGAAGTTCGTAGGCTCATCTGTGACAAGTGTTTTGTAAATTCCCTTTGAGGATTATAACAGAGATTGGAGTGAGAGTGGTTTTCTTGTGAGAAGTGTGCCCCAACAGATAACTGAGTATTTTTGTATTTGACAGATTTTCAGTGTGTGTTCATTCTGGTATGCAGTTGTTGTTTGGCTTCTCCTACAATTTTCCATCAGGGCCTTTAATGCACTGGATGAGATATGTTACATTTCTGGAGGTGCAGTATAAGATCCAGGAATGGTGATGGTTCTGTTGTGGGATGTAGTTATTGTGGGAGTGGTGGAGATGTGTTGGCAGGTTTTACATTTCTTGTCCTGGCATGGACTGGATCCATTCGGTGTGTTTTAGCCCACAGAAGTTTGCTTCTGGTGATGAGGGTGGGGGAAGTTTGCTTCTGGTGATGAGGTTGGTGAAGTTCAGTGCTTGTTTAAAGGCTAGGGTGGGTGGTTCTAGGAAGATCTCTTTAAGAACTGGGTCTTCCTTCTAGTATGGGTTGCAATTGTTTGAGGATTTTCCATTTAGGTTCCAAGGAAGGATGGTGTGTCATAACTAATGGTGTGTGATTCATCAGGATTTTCTTTTTGTACTGCAGCAATTCTTCATGTGGTATCCAAGTGGCTCTTTCAAAAGTATGATCTATCTCTCTGGAAGATTGTCCTTGTCGAGCAAAAGCCCTTTTGAGATTTTTTGAGGTGACAACTGCAGGTGTTCTCCTCAGTGCAAATTCAGTGTTATTGGAGGGCTTGGTGGTCTGTTACAGATTTCTTAGTATGTTTAGCATGATTGTTAGTTCTGTGCAGATATGTATGTTGGTCCGTGGGTTTCTTGTAGTTTGTATTTTACCATTCTGGATATTGATCATACGGTCTAAAAAAGAAATGTTGGTGCTAGAGTACTCAAGTGATAGTCTGATGGAGGGGTGATGATTACTGAATTTGATGGAAATCAAATCAGAGCTTGCAGGTTTTCAGTCCAAATGATGCATATGCCATCTATATATCTTAAGTGTAATATGGGTCTGATAGTGCAGTCCTTGAGCAATTCTTCTTCCAGGCAGCCCATTAAAAGGTTGGCATATTGTAGGGCCATTCTGGTGCCCACAGCTGTGCCCATGGTCTGGAGGAAGTATTGGTTACTGAAAGTGAAGTTGCTGTATGTGAGGATGAGGTGTACAAGTTCAGTAATATCTTTAGGTCTATACTCTCAGTTGTAATCTTGCTCCTGTAGATATGTAAGATAGGTCTGGATGCCATCCTGGTGTGAGATGTTGGTATATAAGCTAGTAACATCCATGGTGGCCAAGAGGTTGTTGCCGGGAAGGTGGTCTATGTTTTTAAGATTTCATAAAAAGTTTGTTGCATCTTGGACAAAACTCACTCCTTGGGTGACAAGAGGTTTTAGGATGGATTCAATGAAACCTGGTATTTCCTCAGATAGGGTTCCATGGTTGGATATCATAGGTGTGCCTGGGTTCCCTTGCTTGTGGATTTTAGGGAGCATGCAACAAGTTCCTGGGTTGGGTAGCAGGTGGCGGGGGAATCAAGCTCTGTAGTTTTTCTTGTTCAGATGGAAATGATTTGATGATAGTTTTGAGTTTTAAGATGAAAAGGGGAGTTGGATCTTCCTCGATTTTTTTGTAGTAGATTGTGTCAGAGTTGTCTTTTGGCTTCTTTTATGTAGTCTTCACGGTTAAGGATAACTATAGCTCCTCCTTTATCTTCTGGTTTATTATTATTTGGTGGCTGGACCTTAAGACCTTATGGCTCTTCTCTCTGAGGGGGAGAGAGGTTGTATGGTGGCATGTGTTGTTGTTTTTTTCCCCTGAAGCAGTCGATATAGCATTCAAGGTTTGGAATTTTGTCCACAGTGAGGTGTCCAGCCTGATAGGTTTTTTGGGGGTTATTTTTTCCTTGATGTTGTCAAAGAATGAAGTGTTGTCGGAAGCAGATTCATTTTGGTTGTGGAAATATTCCTTTAGGTGGAGTAGCCAGAATAATTCTTCGAGTTCTCCACACTATAGTATTTTATTAGGGTATTTTTTCCTGACAGAAATTCAGACCTTTAGAGAGGATAGATTTTTCAGCTTTAGTAAGCATATGCGTGGAGAGATTAATAATATTTGAAAGTTAATTTGTTCTTTCAGTGACATCGAGTATGAAGCTGGAGTGCTGGTGTTGTTTCTTCTTCCTGGAGTAACTGGTTCCATATCTTTTTGTGTTGAATGGATGTTGTAGACAATCTTTGGCAGTCTCTTTGTATATATTGCATAATTTTTGGGAAGATAGCCAGATTTCTCTCATTTAAATCGTTGCAGCATGTGTTGATTTCCTTCTTGAGTTGATCTCTTTTGGAGTAGGTTAGGTGAAAAAGATGATTTCTAAGGTTTTCTGAAGTTCTCCTGCATAGTTGCAAAAGCATATTTGGAGTTGTATGTAGACATCAGAGGTTCAATCCTTTGGGAATGATGTGGTGTTTCTTGCAAAGGCTTAAAAAATACATGTCACTGTTGAGTTTGGCTTCTTTCTTTTTCGTGTTGTGAAGTTTCCATTTTATGGAAACTTATGAAAATACTGAATTTGTTTTCCACTGACTCTACATGACTTTTCATAGATTCAAGGAACTTAAGGCCAGACAGGGTTATTAGATCCTATACACCACAGACTATTAAATTTCATCCATTTATCCCATTACTGGGCTGAATACAACAGGTTGGTTAGTATATGTAATGCTTAGCAGAAGCTGAAGTTTGGAGGAAGCCGTCTAGCTCAGATATAAGACAAGGGTAATGCATGTAAGCCAGATGCAAGCAATTGAAGTAAACATTAAATGTTTAAATTGCCTACTCTAAGTTTGCTTACTTTTATTATTCAGCTGTTCACCTTCAGAAGACAGCTGGTATCTTTAGTCTGACAGGATATCCAGACCGAAACAGTGAATCAGAGTGTCTACATTGACCAGGAAGAGCACACACCAAGTGCTGAAACTTCCTTAGCCTGACAAAGGGTTTCTGAACCCGAAAACTTGCTTAATAACTATTCTCCAGGTATTTGGGTTGGTCTAATAAAAGATATCAGATTCATCCAAGGAACCTTGTCTGCCTACATCGACCAGGACATTTCAATTTTTCTCATTATCCAAGGTTCACTTCAGCATTTTACATAGGTCAACACACAGGCAACAACTTGCACACCAAATAACTGCCCGGTTGTTCCGCTTCCTCATTTTATTTCATTTTTTAAAGAAATATCATACTATACTTAGGACTATGGGTAAGTAGGGCTGGAAGGGACCTCATGAAGCCACCTAGCCCTGCTCAGGGCAGGAGCATCCCTGACTAAACAATCCCAGCCAAGTGTCTGTCTAACCTGCTCTGCAAAATCTCCAGGAATAGAGATTTCACAACTTCTCTAAACAGCCTGCTCCACTGCTTGACCACCATCATCATAAGAAAGTTCTTCCTAATCTCCAGCCCAGATTTCCTCTGCTGCATCTTAAAAACCATTGCTCCTAGTCTTGTCCCCTGTGGCCTCAGAAAAAAGCCCATTTCCATCCTCTCTGTAATTGTCCTGCAGGCATTTGAAGACTTATCAAATCCACCTTCAGTCTTCTCTCTTCCAAACTAAATAGCCATAGTTTTTCCACTCTTTTTCTTTTAAACATTGCTTCCTAGGCCTCTAATCATTTCTGTCACTTTCTGCTGGCTTCTTACTAATCTGTTCACATCATTCTTCAAGTGTGAGCCCCAAAACTGGACCCAATGCTGCAGGTGAGGCCTTGCCAGTACCGAACAGAATGGAAGAAACACTTGCCTTGATTTGCTGTTAAGACTGCCTAGTATGGTCTTGGTTTTTTGCCACAAGAGCACACTGTTGCCTCATATTCAGATTTATGGTCCACTGGAACCCCCACCTCCTTTTGCACAGTACCGCAGCCTAGGCAGTCTGTATTTGTGCATGTAGTTATTCCATCTCAAGTGCAAGATTCTCCACTTGTCCATGTTGAATTTCAGATGACTGACTGCATACCATTTCTCCAGGTCACTCTGGATTCCAGCCCTACCCTGCAGAGCATCTGTTCCACCCAATTTGGTGTCATCCGCAAATTTGCCAAGCATGCACCCAATTCTATTACCTAAGGCATTAATGAAGATAATAAATAATATCAGATCCAGGACAGACTTCTGTGGAACCCCACCTGATACCTTCCTCCCAACTAGATGTTAAGTATCATAGCTGTGTATCAAAGTTTACACTGATTTCCAATGAATATGTATACACATTTTTTCCTCCTCATATAAACCTGGTATTTGAGGCTCTCAAACTTGCTGTTTAGAAGGAGGAGCTGATGGAAGACCACTCTCACTGATGAAGTCAGCTCTCAAACTTTTTTTACTTTATATGATAGTAAGTACACTGACCCTACAACTCGGGTCGTAAAGTCTCTTTTCTAGGTCATATCTGGTAAGGGAGAATAGGGAGTTCCAAGCAGATGGGAGGTTTAATCTGACTGTTTATGAACAGTAAAGCAAGAAGAAAAGCATTTTATATTTAAATAAAATATGCAATGTTCTAGAAAGCAATTCAGATTGTAGCCTTTAGACATATTTATAAACAGCATCCATGCACCATGTTTATATAAACATTTTAGTGTGAAGACAAAAGCGAATGCATGTCAAATCTGTTTCACCTGTAGACTAGGGTGGCAGCCGAAGTCCAGTAAAGTCTTCACAACTTGCAGATGACCTTTATTAACAGCAATGTGGAGCGGAGTCTGTCTGCGCTTGTTTCGAGCATTCAGATCTGCACTGCCTCTGTGCAAAACCTCAATCACAGCACCTTCATCTCCAAATGCTGCATGGTGAACAGCTCTGTCTCCATCTTTGTCCTAAACAGCAAACATGAATTTGAATCAGTCACATTTCCTTCTTCTATGCAATTACAAAAAGATTGCTTCAAACTGATTAAGTAAGGGATTTTTAATTCTACTTCCCCAATTAGATAAAAATAAATAAGCGTGGATGCTACATGGTCTTGGAGGTGCCTACATGCAAGTGTTCCAACACCTAACATTTATGTACCACAGTGCAGAATAAACCAGTTTGAACAGGTTTAGGTATTTAATGACAATGGGGACACTTTGGCAATTGAAGGGCAAACTAACTTAACCAAGCTAAACCTGTTCTATAAAATAAGAACAGGGAGAGCTCAGCACCTCCAAAGAGCTTTTCAGGAAGCTTTAAGGTAGCCAAGAGGAAAAAAACTGAAGCACAGGAATATCTGAACTCCTGCTCCTCTCAATAGTTTGAAGCACCTGACTTGAGCTGACCACTATGTTTCCATTCATTGTATTGTACCTAATTCATTCTATTGTACCTAATCCTATTTGAGAGGTAGCTGCTGAGGCACCTTGTAGCTCAGAATGGCTAGCCTGACATCTTAAAGAGGGAAAGCAGCCTATATCTTACCAAACAGCATCCTGCTTAGAACAGTAGCTCAAGAAGATCTGGGGTCTAGACCAGTGGGCTGGGTGGGCAGTGGCCAGGCTGTCCACAGGTTAGATTCGGATGGTGAACCTAATCTGGCACAGGGTGGTCATGGCAGGGCCCAATCTGGCTGTGCAGAAGCAGACAGGGTGAAGCCTGGCTCCAGCCTCGCCCCACAGAGGGGGAGGAGGGGACATGGCCCAGCCCCACAGGGGAAAGGAGTGTGGCCTGGCCACACCGTATTTCCTGCTGTTGCTCCCCTGCTGCCAAATTTCCTGATCCATGGAAAGCCTCACGGGCCAAATACCTATGGCTCCACAAAGCCACATTTGGCCCATGGGCTGGAGATTGAGCACCCCCTGTTCTAAACCTACTTCACTCTGAAGAGATTTTAATCTACATCTCCCATTTCCCAAATATGTGCCCTAATTGCTAGGGCACAATCACACAGAGTAGGCAAGGGCACTCTTTCATCTCCCCATCCTGCTGGAGCTGGCCACTAGTCATGCAAAAGTACAAGAGCAATGAAGCCAAAGAAACCAAGCAAGAGGAAGTGTTATTTTGTAGCCTACTGTTTATGGCCCTCCTTTTGGAAGGGAGAACACCCGAGTAACACAGTCCCTACTGCTAGGGTTATTTCTATTTTTTAAGCAACGGTGATCTAAAGTCTAATGAAAAGGCTAGGAACAGGGACCATAATGAAAAGCAAAATGGAACCTACACCAAAACCTAGCAGACTGATCCTTTGGGTAAGACCTTAATAGGTCATATTTTTTTATTCTATAGAATAGCTACTGTCAGCAAAAACGTTTAAAGGCAGACCAACCTCATTCTATATACTTTAGTCAATACCTGAGTATATCACTCAGCTATTTGTTCAAGTTATGGCATAAGATTGCATTCACTTAACTATGATATAACACCCACACAGATTTAATTTTCATTTAAGTTTTCTTCCACTATTTATTTTCCAAGATAAATCTGTTTAATCCTTTATCACGTTAAAAAAGAAATAATCATATTTTACAGTCCAGTGCATGTTGCTGAAATCTTAAGCAAATGTTCAACTAAACATAATCAAATGGAGAACAAAAAATACTCTTCAAGCCTTTAATTAGTTAATGTAACATCCATAAAAGCAAACTGTACTACTACATTTATATGACTCTTATGTACATATAAATTCAGAACATTGCAACTGATAATTTAGATACAGAATATATGCTAATATACAAACTGGTGCTATGCAAGTAATTGCTAACATTAGCTTGCACTTCAAACTAAAAATCAATTAGGTACGTGCAAGGCAAACAATAAATTGATGAGATTAGTAGCTGATGCTTCTGAATGGTCTTCCTCTATTTCTCATCTATTGATAGTACGTTCAGGATCATTGTGTGAAAAAAAGTTAATCCTCAGTATTGTTAAACTCTATAAAAAGATATAACAGCCTAGATTATGGAGACATAACATAATTACTAGGAGTAAGCTACCCTGGGTTTTACCAGACAATAACTTTATGGTAGGAGACACACGACTGGGATCTCCCTAAGCAGCTGTCCAGAGTAGGTGCTATTACAGCCCCTGGCCAGTAGGTGGCCATCAAGCCACTTATAAGCAAACAAATACCATGGGAATTAAATTGACTAGAGCAGGGGTGCCATAGTCATGGAGGCCACAAGGAAAGCACCATGGACATACCTCTCCTACACTCCATCCACACCAAGGCCCCATATCTTGGACTGGCTGGGGCAGAAATTGCATGCAGACATACCCAGGACCCTGAATGAGGCTGGCCCAGGTCATACTGCGTGCAGTGTGGGGTTGATTCCGGACCCAGAGGCAGCACCACAGGCCAGATACCAAATACAGCCTGCAGGCTGTATCTTTGACACCCCTGGATTACAAGAATGGACACATTGTAAATCCCACATTTTTCAAGATGTAACTTTATCCTGGACTGAGACACTTACTATCCAAGTATGGCTGTATGTAACGTGTCCACTCCATTTTTTTCTAAGTAATAAATGAGCCACGTGTCTGCACTCTTAATCTACAAGTCTACATTAAGAATCTCTGCAATGAGTCAGCTAGGACTGTTTAAACACACATGCATGTGAACACACTAAATGTAGCTACCCAGACCCCTCCCAGAGTTCGCTACTCTTGCCTACCGTTCAAGGAACTGGTATAACCACAGCAGAAAAAATCTCCTAGCACCATATTTAGAGTGATACCATTTCCATAATGTAAACAGGCCCTTTGATAGCTTTTGAAAGATTAAAATGTTAACCCCAGTGTCCTGGCCAAATTCTAATTTGGGTAATTATGTTCTGCTCCCTCTCATCTCCCTTGCATTTTAGCCACATTGTGTGATTGCCTTCAGTCCCTATATCTTGAATTGATGTAAAACATAAGTCATGTTTAACAGCAGCTACATTTCACTCCAGAGAGTGCTTTGTATTTCACTGGTGAGTGAAACAACTCCTTTACATATGCATTTAAAATCTGCAAAGTGCTTTGGGATCCTTCAGCATGAAATATTACATAAAACATGTCATTTTACCAAACTATCATTATAAATGTGGTGCTCTAACCTCATTTATTTTAAGTCAAAAAGCCAAATTCATGAACACTTAATCAATAAGACACAAATACTTGCAATTATTTTAAAGTGTGGAGTTCCAAGTACATATGGACATTATTTCTACCCCTATTTCTTGATAAATTTATCTCTAAAAAAAAATAAAGCATGTTGTAGTGTTTATTATACCACAGAATATCAACTGTACTACCCAGAATCAGCTTCTTAAGCAGCCATGCCCAGCAAGTCTCATTAAAAAGAGGCTGAAAATTAAAATGAACATGTACTGAAAATGTGAAATATTTTACCTATTTCTTTACTACCCAATAATTTATTCATACAGATTGGAATTCTACATTATGTCCCTATTTACTATCCAAATAAAAAAAATTACACACAGTCATACTGATGTGACTAGCCATGTGTCCTGATTACTGTGTTACTGATTACTGATTTACTGAAATCACTATTCAGCACCAGATCAACTATTTCTTAGGGAGACAACAAAATTAAGCTAACACCTGTGCAGGCAGCTCCTAACTAAATGCAATCCTACAATTTTCTCTATTCCCCACCATTTTCATGTACTCTCCAACCGAGCCAAAGTCAGTTAACACTACCATCCATTATTCAATCATCCCAAACATGCTGCATTCCAACCCACACGCCTGCTCAAATTGCATATAAAGTGTCCCTGGATCCCCAAATCTACACCATTCAGGTACTTACACGTAAGTCACAGAAGTGACTGAAATGTAGATATGCTAGGGTTTGTTATAGATTAGAAGTTTTAAACTACAGATACCAGTAGCAGTCTGGCTGTGCTAGTATGGATCCAATTTACCCTCTTTTTTGTAAGTACAGTGTAGACGTCTCTTTAATGTTCACCTCAAACACAACAAAGGGAGAAAAGGCAAAAGAAAGTAAATACCAGCAGCAACTTGAAGTATGGTTAGATTTGCTTTTAAACTCACAGCACTATTATGCCTTTCCTGCTACACATGACTACAGGCAGCTCTAGCACTAAACTGTATCGCATCTCGTGTCCCAGTATTACTACCTCCAAAATCCCCATCTTCTCATTGTTCTCTCAGATTCACCTAAATTATATTACCTTACTGCAAAAGGGAGTCACACCCAGCTTTATGGAGCCTTCAAAGCAGTGGTTCTCAAGTTTTTTACACTTGAGACCTCTCAAAAATGCCAGCTCTTAGTTTTCACTCTTTTTTTTTTTTGACTACAGAAAAACTGCAGAGCAATTGTTCTGTCGCAAAGAACTTAGAAAGATCACAAGAGGTCAAAAATTTATCTAACACTACAGATTCTTATTTGAAGTTTCTGGGTTTATCTTGTGAACCATGTTTGCAAACCTACCAGCGGGAACTCTGTGACACACAACAGCATGCTTGACAAGATTTTATGGCACCCAGATTAAGGATCACTGCTTCAGAGAAATAGTATCTCCTTCCTGAAGAACAAGATTCAGTACCCACAGGACTGCAACCCGACAGCAAGGCCAGCTAGGAGAAATTCAGATTTGTACACTGTTGTCCTGTCCTAACCCCTAATAGGAGTCAGACCTGTTTCCCCTGGGCCCTATGACTTTTGGAACACAAGGATTTAACAAATTATCCTTTCTAGTCCACTGATGAATTTCTCTCCCCCGAGAAGCCAGGCCAGCACAGATATTTGCTACCTGATAAGCAGCAGATGAGAGGATAAACCACGCTTCTTTCTTCCTTCCATGACACAGGCCAAGGCAGGAAAGTAACAGATAGAACCTGACTTTTGCCTCCATATTTGTAATGCTGCTAACTCAATTCTATTAGAAATCTCACATTTTAAACCTTATGATCTACAATTATATGGAAATCTCACCTTTCATTAAAAAGTTATGAGCCCTCAAAGTTGCAGAGAAGACTCAAGTACCAAATGGGTAAGTCAAATGCCTGTTAATCAGGTTTCTGGCCAACTATGGTTTCTGGAGTCAGACACAGATACACATGCAGAATAGGCAAGCATGTGTAGGTGCCTGGTAAGTTGACCATAGCTTACTACTAATGGTCAATTTACATGCACATGCTTACATGTCCATAAAGCAGGGAAAAGTTGAATCACTGCTTACACATAAGTACCCACAATATCAGTTACGTGACTAAAAAAATTCAATTTAGATGCACAAAGGGAATCTTGTACTAAAAGTACTCCACATTACAAAAACAGCCCCATCTCACAGGATCCTGATGCCAATTAAAGTGAGTGGCTAAACAAACAAACCCAGTTGACTCAGGAATCCCTTCCTTCTCCCAGGGCCATTTACAGTCAGGGGTCGACCCAACTCAAGGCTGGCCTTTTTCACAGGCAGGCTGCAGGGTCAGCTGCCATTTTTGTGGGCTTACTGTGGTGGAGCCCCCATGCCCCCCACCCCCACCACTAATTGGTGGAGAGGGCTGTCATTGTACAGCCCTGCCCCTTGCTGCTGATTGGCTGAGAGGGGCAGGGCTGCACAACAGGTACCCCTTTTAGCCAATCAGCAGTGAGGGGTGGGGATAGCAACCATCTTGTCTGCTTGTCTTTGTGCTGGCTTGCACAGCCAGGAGGACCACTGGCTTCCGCTGGGGAGCCAGCATTTTATTTTTAACAAGTCCCCCCCGCTCCCTCTCCCCTACGGATTTCCACAAAATCATGATTTGAGTAGGTCTCTATGGTATCTTACCACCCATCTTGTAAAATTATTACTTTATTTCAACATCTCCAGCATTATTAGGATTGCAACAGAGTTGAGTAACCAGCCAGACAAGTAAAGTTACCTTTGGAAACAAATCATCAAAAGAATGACTACACGTTAAACAGAGGCACTGCTGATGATCCATCTGATCTCCCCCAGAACTGGATATTGGCAGCTAAATTATAAAAATGTGTAATTATGACTTCTATCTGTAATGAAGTTTGGAACTTAAAGAAACTGCATTTTTTCAAATGTTCCTTTACCTCTGCTTCCACATCTACATTCTGTTTCAGAAGCAATTTTAAAATGTCGACATGTCCATTTTGACTAGCTGCTTGCATAGCTGTGTGTCCAGCACACTGTCCATTCACCTAAAACAGTATATTAATAAAGTTAATTTACAGAAGCACATATTCATGCAAACACAAACATGAAGACATGTAAAACAGTTAGCCCTAGCAATATTTCATGTCATAAATAATTTACCGTGAAGCTCCCATTTCACCAGTACTCTAAGAAAAAAAAATCTCCATCTGGTTGCTAAAACTCCACATATCTTAACAGCTTCCAAAAGAATCACTCACTCAAAAAAATCTCTCAAAAATGTTCAGCATTAAGAATGGATCAGATAATCTATTAAGATTGTTTTGCCCATTTGACTTCATAAGCCAAATAAAAGGAAGGTAAGATTGTCTTGCTTTTTACTTATTTCAAAGAGGATTATTGCTAAATTGAAAAATTTAATCTTTGGATTATTGTAAAAGTTGTCCTTTGAGGAAAAACAGGTTTCTGGGAGGGTGACCAGTTCTATGTTCTGGAGGAGGATTCGATTTAGTATTTTATGATGGATTCTGAGCACCTTGGGTAAAGATCTTATTTTACTTTATTTTTGCATAAGCCTGAATAAACTCAAAACTCAAATTAAACTTTAAAGCCAGAAATTTCCAAACTCTGGCCTTTGATGACTACTCTATTGAAAAAAAAAAAAGCAGTATTTGATTATAAACTGAAACCACTCTCCTGCAAGTCTTTAAGTATCTGTTTTAAGTCCTGTCGACACTGGGAGGGAAGGAGATTAAAAAAAAAAAAAAAAAAAAAGGAGCTTCCTCACCAAACAGCAAAATCCTCATGAAGAGCAAATTCAGAACTTGACTAGAGCAACCAAAATAAAAGGCTAGCTGAGAAGGGCTCCTGCTCCCATACAATAGTTATCAACTATTAGAAGCTAGGGAATTATCACCAACCCAGCGCTGCTTTATTCTTTACTATATCTCAACTGAATAACAACTTATGGGCCATTCCAATACCACAGATAGTACAAAAATATGCCTACTGGAAAAGGCGGCAACTCCATCCCTGCCTATCTAACCCTGACACACTTATCATGCAAGTTTTAGAGAAGGAGGTACAAGAACCATGCAAGCCAGATCTATGATAAAAGAAATCAAGCATGCATGAGGAATTCCCAGCAGTGAATTTGGGATGGCTTCAGCTCCCTTAGTCAGAAATTCCAATAAAGAGCACTCACATCCACATCCGGTCTCTTTAGCAGATCTTCCACTTTTGCTACATCTCCATTAGCAGCAGCTTTAACCAATTCTTCATTGAGATCTCCAGATTCTTGGGTTTCAAACAGCTTCTTCAACAGCTGGGACAATCTCTCTGGAAAAATTATGCATAAGCATTGTTAGAACCACAACTCCAACAACTGGGAAACAGAAAAGAAGATACATTTGTTGTGCTATTTACAAAAGTAGCTATAGTCAAGGGTGGAACCAGCAGGGTGCATGTGCAGCGCCTTTTGATTTCTTTTCAACCCCAAGTTTAAAACCAACTGCCTGGTACTGATAGCAGCTTTCCTAGTCAGGCAGTCCAGAGGAAGTCAACTGACTTTGTGGCTCACTACAATCTACCTGATCCTTTCTGAACACTTTATTCCACAGGCGTTAATAACCTTCAAGGTAGTATGAAATCTAACTCTGCAAGGAATCTGGGTTCTGCTGTACTATATAGTGTTCACCTGGCATTTTCTAATTCTGCATGGCATATATACTATAGCACCTCAGCATTACAAATTTGTAAGTCAGACAGTTAATTCAGAAATCACACAATTTACTCAAAGATAATCAATCAATCTGACACTGCTGCTACAACTCTCATAGAAGTTATTACCATACAAATAAATGGGACTTGCACTTAAAGAAAATATTAGGAGAGTTATAGGCCAGTAAATCAAATTTCTACTCCACTTACCTTGACTGTCATGTTACCAACTCTTGAGTAAAGTCAACAAGGTGGATAAAAATCAACTATTTTTAAAATAAAACACAGATTTTTTTAAAGCCAGATTTTTTTAATTTAATAATATTCTTTGTTTTTTTTGTTACGATGCTTTTTTCTTAAAAATGAACCTTGTGTATAAAAATAGTTTTAATTTAAGATGCGTTAAAGCTCAAAGATGTGTTAAAGCTCATTTAAGATGCGTTAAAGCTCCTGGAATAGGGATTTTGAGACAATATATTCATGTAACCTTTTTAGAAAAGTTTTATAAATAGGTCACAACAGGCCACGGACTATATTAGGGGGTCCAATCTTATGGGGCTCCCAGAGGCTCCTCTATAGATTAGTAACGATTAAAGAAAACCACTTGCCCCAATGGGACTCAGTGCTCAGTCGAGAAGATCCCATTAAGCATCTCTGTGATGCTCAGTTTCAGTTCTCAAACTGTGGGTTTGTCTCTCCAGAGATAACATCCTTGTTAACAGCAGTATATGGAGATGAGAGATAACACATCTGATTACCTACCCATCAGCCCTCTTGTGTCTCTGTAAGTTTGTGTACACAAAGCAAGCCCTTACCTCTCCCTCAAAGTTTCAAGAAGTTAAATGAATAGAGGATTGTTGGGGGTGGAGTACATCTGGGCAAGGAAGAAGAGTCTGGAGGTAAACTCAAGGAGGAAGGGGCAGTAGAAACAAGAAACATTTTGAGCAGAATATTCCAGAAGTCTTGAGGGATGTTTCCCCGTGTAGTCTCTCCACTGATTTGAAAGCTAGTGAGGAAATGGTATGGTAGAAGGGAAAACCTGTCATTGCAGCAGGCTTGCCAGGCCATAAAAGAGAGCCTGTTTGAGAATACTTGATTTAAATCAATCAAATCCACCCTGAAAGTCAACTCAGTAAAAATTTTCTTCGTTATACTTTAATTCACACACAGGTTCTCTCATATATCAAACTTCTGCCTTTTTAGATTAAATTTATAAACTGAAATCCATTCCCCAAGGCTTGGCGCACAAAGTAACACCCCTTCTACCAGTGATTTCATAGGTAATGCAACTTCACATCTCAGAAGTAGAAGGCCAAACAGAGGTGCACCTTACAGACTAACTGAAATCAGAGATGCAGAAGCTCTTGGAGCCACAACTCGCTTCATCTCACCAGGTCCCAGACCTGGGGCTGCTCTCTGCTGATCACTAAAGGCAGCCCGGGATCCCCACAGTTCAAAGGGGCATCCAGTATATGCCGCTGGGGCTCAGGGAATCACACAATAAGGATCGAAAGATTTTTTATCCCCGAAATTGCAGGACTCATGTTATTTGGGATAGTGCATAAAATTCCTCTGATCCCAATCGTGCGATAATATTAATGTCTGCCAGAGGTCTCAGACACCAAAAGAATGTAAACTAACTGCGCTTTTACTTTTGAGGTCTGGATTAGGATGACCCTTGTAGTGGTTTACATTACTCCAAGTCAACTTTTTGCAGGATTTTTTTGCAGCTCCCTTTGAAGCCAGATACTGGACTAATTGTCCTCAAAATTGAACAGGATCGCCCCTATATACAGATTTCAAACCAGTATTTGTCAATTTGAGCCCACACATTCATCTTTAGATATTTCATATATACAGTACTAAATATTCACTTACCACCAGATGCATTGCTTATTGCAGACCCCGCTGATGCCACTTTGGAGACAGCTGCTGGATTGTAGGTCCAAGATGTCCCGCAAACTTCTACCTTTAAGTCACTGTCTGAATAAATCTGCTGA